CGCATCATCGAAAGAGTGCATTCACTTCGCGTAGATGACTAGCAATTGGGCGAGTTAGGTAGATTGGACAGCGCAGCCGAAGCAGTAGCTTCCATTTATTCAAGGTTCTGTAGTATGGACAGCTGTTCTTCATGGTCTTGTAGAACTGTTGGTGTAGTGCTCCTCGATGTGGTCGGATTAGCAAGTCTTGGAGTGATCAGGGCATTGGAACTGTCCCGTTTGAAAGCAGTGTCGCCAGCTGGAGAGTCACTCTGCCTCGACAATGCTTTGATTCCTACGACCTCTACGGGAGTTAGCACTTCTGTTTCCTCTAACGAGACGTCCTTCGGGGACCGATGAGCGTCCGCGCACGTGTTCAATAACTGCGAGGTCCGGCCAAATCACTCAGATTGGTCAGAACAGATCTTGATGGTATCACTGGGCACTGTTGGTATCGTAGACCGGTGAGGTATCTCATGTCATGACTCATCCAGCAGGACAGGGGCCGACGACTCCACATGCCCAGGTGGTGTCGAGTTTGGAGGCCGTTGGCTAATCGCTCAGACTCGAGGGTGGTGTTGTTGCCTCTTGTCTGGCTGGAGGACTGCGATGATACATCGAGCCGGCGTACCAATTGAGCTCGATGTATGGTAGTGGGCATGGTGGCAAAAGGCCAGCTACCCTGCGCCCCTCTATATCTCGGCCCACGAGAGAGAGATAGAGAGAGAGAGAATATCTTTTATTGGGTCCAGCAAAACGCAATAAAACGCACACCTGGCTGATCTCACGTTGGCACCGGCAGGTCTATCCTGCCGGCGCGATCACGGGAACACTGAACGGCCAGGATTTGGTCTTCATAGGTGGGACTTCGCAGCAGCATGTCCCACTCTTCCATAATGAAACTACGGCCCAACTACCTGCACCCACAGAGCATATGACATAAAGTTGCAACCTCACCACTGGCTGAGCGAGAGCTATTTGGGTAAATGTCCGGATATATGTAACTGAGGGTCACCGGATTTAGGTGTGAGTTAGTTTGCAGGAGACTGAGCGTGACCACCTGTGGCGTGTTTAGCTTGAAATGAGGCGGCGGGAAGACTCTTCTCTCCAAGTAAATAATCGAGTAATTTATTGTGAGTTCTAGGTGCGTCCTTGTGTCTGGGGGAAAGTCGTCTGATCCGAGCGTAACACGGTCGGTCTCGTTAGCCGACTGATTGAGGTTCGATTGCTCCGACGTGAGCAGAGAACCAAAATATAGTGTGTGTGGAGCTGCCACTGCTTCTGGCGTCTTTCATAATATTAACTACCTGCCAGCTACTCGGCCTCTCTGGAATACCCAACAGCCACGCTTGAATCGATATACACCGTGTCTTTCCGACCATCTTGCATGGCGAGTGCAATGGTTGGGAGCCACCCATATCCCATCCGCGGAAGAGAATGGGTCGACAGGAAGGAGGTCACGAGTGTCGGAAAAAGGCCGCAACAAAGCAATCAGCCTTGCGCACCACTGAGGCCAGTTGCATGCCTTCGTAGTTGTGCCATGCCCTGGCCACACCACGAGTGAGATCGATTGCAATTATCCATTCTTGGTTTTCCCGCGAGGCCTAGATGGTGGCCAGCAAGTTGACGGCCAAAATCCATTCATAGACGTCGTTTTGTAAGCCGCGAAACTCAGGTACAGCCGAAAAAGGCGTCGATTGGTGAAACGTGAGGCCAGAACCCAGAATGTGCCGATGTCAAGCAGCCAAGTTGGTCAGAGAGCTCCCTGAGGGAACGCCGGAGCTCGCAGCGGTTTCGGGTGAGCTGACCTCAAAGCCGTGTGAGGCGGCTACAGCTAACATGTCGTCGTTGGCGCACGATTTGGGCAAGACAGCAGGTAAGAGCTTGGAGCTCGAAGCTATCAGGGTGTTAGTCCTGACGCGGAGGTCCACGATAGTGTGCTGCAGCTCCACGTTATTGTTTGACGATCCAGTTGGAGAGACAGGGTCAGCATCTGCTGATGACCCAGTGACTCTGTTACACATGATGGTACAACTCATAGCGAAGGACGCGTGGACGGCATCCATGGGAGGCTGATCTGATGGCAAAGTCCAACTCACTGGATCCACGCAGATGGGAGCGTTAGACGCGTTCCCAGACAAGAAAAACTCGGCGTGCCTTGGCGTGAACCAGTGTTGCAGAGCCGATAAAGGAAAGTTGAGGCGCGAGGAGGCCTGGACGCCATTCTCAGATGGCGTTCGCAGCGCCGGGAGGTTGCGAGGCGACGGGGAGGCATAGCTGCCGTTCCCGAACTGTTCTTGGTGTGGGGGTCGGTAGACGCGTTTCATGGCCGAGGAAGAGTAGACGCATTTGCTTGTATGGCGGCTCCGGAAAGCTCAGGATGGACGAGTACAAGCCATAGTAGCATCAAGTCTTTGTTTTCGACGACTGCACCATTGTAGTGAAAAAATACAAACAAGAGACGACACACTTGATGCAGACGGCTGTTCTTACTGCCCCTCGTTTTTCTCATCTTCCCAGTCTAGACTAGCACGTTGCCACGCACAAGGTTTTGTGGAGTAACTTTTTTTTTACGTTCAAGGGCATCGAAATTACGTTTTTGTGAAACATGTATGGAATGTTGAGTTGCGAAATATTTGCACTTGTATTGCATTTGGTGTTGGTATTTGTGTTACTATTGAAAACGTGTGTTTACACACCTTCTTTGAATAAGTGTCCTCAATTCAAAACACGACTTCAAATTAAGAAGCTTGCAGAGATGAAGGGCTCGTGAGGGCTGTGTGTCACTGAAGCGGATGTTTTGAGAAAGGGGCTTCTCAAAGGGGGGGGCACGGAGAAGGGGGACACGAGGTTCCATGTCGTCGTGTCCACCTATGTCAGCGTCTTCTTCGAGCTCTTCAGGGGATGCAGCAACGACATCCGGTGCCTTGTGCACAGACACCTCTAGTGCCCTTGTGAACACTGACATCTAGCGGCTTTTCTTATCTAAGGCTCAAGGCGCGCTCAACTCTTCCCTGCGCCTGGGCTGTTTGGAATCATGCCTCCACAGGTCGGGTTGTGTCCGTATACGAGGTAGTGATCGCGATTGGTGCGCCCATGTTGGGATAATCAGAATTGCCTAAACTGGCATATCCAGAAGGGGGATAAAGGCTTCTAGTGTAGATAGTACTATTCCTGAAAAGCCGGGTATCATGGACGCTTCCGGGGTTATCCAACCAAAATGACTTCGAATTGGGCCCGATGGTCAAAGACTGCCTGTTGTTAAATTAAGTGAAAATTTCCCCGGGTAAAATAGTCTTCCGGCATACTGATTGACGCTTTATTTATTATGTTAGGTGCCATCTATGGCTTCAACAAAGCCATCGAGACGATTGGACTGTGACATGGTGCGAAATACTGCGCTAATTTGAGCTAATTCTTCTGGATTTGGCAAATATATAAATTTGTTTAGTCTTTTTCACCATAATTTAGAATTCTCATGACCGTTCAGAATGTTGTGGTTCTTGGGATATTGAAGCACGCTGCCACGACTCGGAAATGTGTTCAGCGGCCTAACCACAATATGAAAACAAGAAGGAGTTTGCACCATTTATGTGTTCTGTTTGTACTGTCTTTCCACAGGTGAGCCATCAGGCTCCAGAACGTCTCATTCATCACCCTGAAGTGGGGCTTCAATGCTGAACTCTCGCTATGGCGCAGGCATTCCTGCAGCGGCGAGCTTCTCGAGAGGTAGCAGTACGAGCCTCTCGCCTGAAAACAAGAAGCGTAATTGCCCTTAACGTACGCTTTAATTAACCCTTGTCCTCATAAGTATACATTATAAATACGTTACTAACCTATCCATGCAACCCTTCAAGTGTAGTTCCATCAGGCATGTTGCCGTTATGTTCGCTTAAGCTTGCTTGAACCTGGGCAACTGAGGAAGGGGCCTAGGCCTGTTCGCGGCGGTTACCTTTCAGTGCGTGACATCAACCTACCTAAATTATGCGATTTTTTTGTTTTTTAGTATTAATCTTTTGAAGCTTTCTGTTCCTCGCAACATATAAAGCGTGCATTATCAAGTTTCTTTTTTGTTTATACGGGCGAGCGATTACAGCCTTTCACTGCAATTAGACGATTTGTTGAACGGGTTTTGCGCTTGTAACGCAAATAAGCAAGCGCCATATTCAAAAACGTCGAACATTCCGCATTGCTCCCAAAAGCTCGTATAAAGTTCTAGGCACGATACTCGAAGACTTTCGCAGTGCGCCCTGTAGCGCGCTTGTCATGGCTAAGAACGCAACATTCCGTCCGGTGCGTGACACTGCACCAGCAGGCTTTAAAGAAGCCTCCAGGCATGAATCATACAGTACATTCTTGAAAAATGCTTACCTTTTGGTCAGCTGGGAGAGGACGTAAAGTAGAATTATAGTTGAAAAACACTCCCAGTTAATCATAATGCAAAACAACTGCCAGTCGTCTTCCGACGCGTGGTTCATTTTTTCATCCGCAACACACTGCCAAAGAATCATCTGCTTTTTTGTGTCTCTTAAAAATCACGCTCATAACTGAAAAAAAAAAAACTCTTCTCAACTTCAATGGTTCTTGACGGGGTTTTGATTGGCATATTAGCTCATCAGACGACATTCTTTGTAACCTTTCGTGCTGCCTGGAATAATGGGTGGCAATACACATGGTGGCTATTTTTAGACAGACCTAAAGGAATAGAGAGTTTACTTTGTGAATTAGATGCCTTACTTAGGTGAACACACACAATATATATATATATATATATATATATATATATATATATATATATATATATATATATATATATATATATATATATAAAGGTGCTAGGAAAGGCAGGGAGGTTAACCAGACGCACATCCGGTAAAGCACAGAAAAGGGAAAAGACATATGTGTCTATGTAATCAACACCGCTCGTATTAAAAAGCAGATATTATAGCTCCCTCTTGAGGAATACAAGAGAGATGCAAAACAAGGGCTGTAATGAAGAACACACTGAGACATCAGAAATATTTGCGAGATGGTCATCTTTTTTTTTCTTTTTCTTCCATTGCACATGTACAGTCCACATAAAGCCACCACTGGACGCTTTAGTAAACACAGTGAGAAATGCACTACGTTGAGATGAGCTGCCCCTTCGTCGCTGCAGAAAGTGCACGGTTTCACCAGTACACTGCCAACACCTTCACCACACTTTCACCACCTACAAAATAGTCGCAACGACACGTAACTCTTCAACTACTAGCAACTACGGGCCATGCTGGAATGGTGGGTAATGATGCCTCTTGTGTTGTTTATGGTTTCCTTTGTTCGATCGGTGCCCACGTGTCGCGGTATTACGTCTGGTAATTCGGCAGCGTCCAGTTCACGCTGAGCCATCGCTGTATTAAACCCGGTGATGGAGTCGCACCAATTTGATTGACACACACGAACAGTCGTCGTCACTGCACGGGCATGGAATGCGAACATTTTATCAGCGTTCTACAAACAGGGCGCGACAAAGTGAGGAATGATGACGTGGTGTTGTTGGCGATCGGTCATGACGTTTTCCGGCTTGATTGATCATTGTGGCAGGGAGATTGCTCATTTTCAGAATTATTGTGCTCAGAAGGAGCCCTGAATTCTATTCAGTGGATGTTTTGAGACACCTCCACGCTTTTAAACACGTGGTGCCATAAATACAGGGTTATGCTGATCAATCAACTCCTTTAGAAACACGGACAACGGAAGAGTAGAAGCCAACACGAGCGCATATTCACAAATGAATATTATTGAATGAAACATGGCGTATATGACATGACATGATGAGCAATTTATAGAATTGACCTGGGGAGAACGATGAAGGTAGCCCTAAGGCTCCCCATCAAGTCGGTGGTTCCATAGAGTTTCTTAAAAGTTACCTAGAAGGAACACTAGCGCTGCAATCGTCTAGCGACCACGGCAATTATGGGCATGACTTAGATTTGCCCAGACTTCGTGTTTTAGGGTGGCGAACGCATTTGTGGCTTTGTTTATTGCTGTGTTTCGATTTTGTTTCAAAGAAAAAAAAACAATCCGTTTATCACATCGTGACCCGATTTCAAGTGGTAAGCCTTATAGGTTAAGGTAGTCAAGTGCAATTGCCGAACATTTGCCGATGGTTGTTTCATGACAAAGTAGCTTGAAGCTATGCGAAGCCAAAACAAACATAAAGTACGAAGACTAGGCAAATCCATGTCGTATTCATAATTCCCATGCTCTCTGAAGCGCGATAGATATGCGTCGCAGCTCCCATAGACACTAGCGTCACAGTTTCATCTAGTGTATATTTAGGAAACTCTAGGGATGGCTCCACCTATGGCGCAACTGGGAGGCCGTGACTCTACAGTCAAATAAAGAGAACACAATCTCATTGGTCAAGTGAGGTAACGTGAACGCTTCAACAACGATCTGGCGTCTAGATATTGCACCTCATAATCAGCAAGTATCATTGGTAGATTGCCAGCACATCAATGTGTCTTCGTTATTACATAGGCCTCACGCAACTCAGGTGAGCTGCGTTCCTAAAATTCGAGAGATATAAAATTCTTGTTTTATTTAGGAGCGGAAGGCACACCTTTTCTTTGCGCGTATGAGTGTGCAAGGGAGACACAGAGGGCTTGCTAGGGTTTTATATCGTCATAAGGATGGCAACCCACTAGAGCTCCCAGAGGCTTATGAGATTTAAAAGAAAAAAAACGTGTGGATTCGTCAGCGATTATTGTTGTACTACTTGCGTAATACTTGTTGATTGTGAAGTGAGATATCTAGTCAACAAATTACAACTAAAGCAATCGTCGGCTTATGATGTCTTTCATCTTCACGGCATACTTATATATGCTATCATTCACTCATAAAATAAAGTTTAAGGACTGTCTTCGTGCTGTCTGCTCACATTTGGTCCGTATTTCAAGCGCTAATAAGTAATTTTAACATAAAATGAGAACAATCAGCCAAAAATTATGCTCCTGCTGATTGAAGAAGTAACTGCCGGTTGCTCATTCAAGATTCATTATTGATTTTGAACTATTGAACATTTCTTACTTTCAGGTAATTTGTGCACCGTTAATGTTGAAAGGAGGTTGACACACAGTAATGAAATTTACCTTCAGGTCATTCAAGTCAACTTCGCGATCTACTATCTCATTGTATGCCAGGAAAGGCGTAAATACAGTCGCACAGAAAATGAATTTCAGTGCCCCTTCCCGATAGAGTTCAGGCAGAATGAGACCGCAGATGAACATGCATGTGTATGAAAAGATGTTTTCACTTTGAAGTGCCTTGTGGAAGCCTGCAAAAAGTTCCTAGCTGCGCTATTCACAGCAATTTAAAAGAAACTGCCTACTGCTCTTTCTATCTAAGGCTTGGCTTGCCATACACATCCATTCGACAGAATATCTATGTACCTGATTTCCTGACGCACAAAGTGATGCGTCCGTATGATACCGGTAATATCGCAATATCTAAACCTAGATGCGTGCAGCGTACAGAACACCTATACTTCAATGGTGTTTCTTAAATAGACATAATCAAACAACATCTACCCCCCCACATGACAAGCCAGAGTAGATGATCAGTTACAATAAATATTAAGGGACGCGTATCAAAATTTCACGGTTGGGATTTCGTTCCTTCAAACGTGCAGTCAGTAGCATACAGTAGATATGAGCAGTATCGACAGATTCAGTGGTTACTAATGAACGATGGCGTCAAAAGTTATTGACTGTGGGATCTGAAAACCTAGTTGCAGCTTATTAACGCACACGCACTTGTGTATTAGAGTCTTTATCAATGTCGCAGTATAAGAAACTTTGACGCTCCTACAACACATTTTCTTTGCGCTATCATTTGCATTAGGCCAAACACTATTAATTAGGGGAGGGACCTGCTACATTATTCGCAAATACTCTTGCATTGATCCTAAGTACTTCTCTTCGTACGCATGCACGGCAGGAATTATATATAGTGCTTCGTGTCTCAGCATCTCCAGGTGACATAGGAGGTTTGCCTCATCAGATGACATGTACGCTCAGAGCTGAGAACAACACTGCTCAAAATTACAATTAACAAAACAGGAGAAAGCACTTCGCGCAACTTTCAGGGAAACAGCCTGATTCCTCGCGTCAACAATCTCCTTACTTCGCTATCAGCAGAGAAGCGTGTTCAATAAGACTACCTACTTTACGGCGTCGTATTAGAGGACGCTTCGGCATCACATTGAGTACACAAAAAGTTCAGGAATCGCACTCACAAACCTTCTCTTGTGGAACAATCCATATGCAATTGATCACGCCTGTCCCGATACTGTCGTCATGTCCACAATCATCACCATCATCATTAGGGACGTATGTAATAAGTCTGACCGATCAGATGGTAAACTATGCACGAGTCGGTAGAGGAATGAGGGCTTAGGTGGTATGACCTCTTTCTGCTTGCAGGACTGAAACAATGCACGAACTCAACGGTACCCACGAAGACCTCAACTCGATCTCCGTGAAGTCACGTTTCGGTGACTACTCCACAATGTCGGTCAAATGCCCAACGGCAAGTGAGGATGGCCCAGTATAAAAACAAGAAGTGACTAGCGATGAACCGTCCACGGCATTGCGGGCGATAAGTCAATGACGGCGTTGCTTCCTTTGTTGGTGTGTATGCTCCTGGGCAGGAAGAATCCTCCCCTGGGCGGCGACACAAAGTGCACGGGCACGACGCACAACACGTCGTCGGGGAAGTAGAAGTATCCGTATCGAGGTTCGGCGCGCAGCAGCGCGCCCTCTTCCGACTGCTGCTTGTCGCCCTCACTGCAGGGGTCACCGACGGCCACGCGACGTGGCGTCGATCCGAGGCGGAGTCGCGTGGAGAGGAAGTTGGAGATGGCCGACGCCGCGTCCGGCACCAGGCGGTACGGCGGTATCTGCCGCAGGAACAGGTGTCCCAGTACTCCATGCTCCAGGTTTGCGCACGTCTCCCTCGGAAAGCGGCCATTGGCCGCTGGGTGGCCCCTGCAAGATGGGAACAGATATGCAGAAGTGTCGTGAATATCTTTTACATCCCAGAGGTTTCAGACGCGTACGAGCAAACAACTGGAATTTCATACGTGTTTTTCATGAGAAGTCGTTCAGCAAAGGACGTGAAATTTTTAAAGAACTAGTTGACTTCAAATCGCACATGAAGAAAATAAGGCTAGAATGAAAAATTACAAGCTAATCTCTTCGGTTAGACATAAAGCGAATCAGTGTTTGTGAAAACACCCGGGATTTTCTATGCCCGATGTTGCTACTCCATCGGCAAATATGTCCATTGACTAATTCTCCAGAGATCGGGGAGTTTGGTATCTCATACCTCTACTTCGTTTACAGCATTGCTCAGGATTCACGGGAAGCTGGTTTGCGCAAACGTGGGCGGGTCGCTGGCCGCTCTATTGTTACCAGGGTAGTCAACTGTGACTGCAAAGAGCCGCGCATACACCTTGGGGGAGATGTACACATAGTTGAGGGAGTGTGCGACTGCGGCGGAGAGGCGAGGAGTAAATACAGGTTGCACATAGTCGTCTGGTAGTCTTCACCCCCCTGGCCAAACTTATCTACGCTCTGCAAAAGGAGCGTCCCTTTGAGCATGAAGGCCTTCGATACGTTGCGAATCATATATCGTATGATATGTGAATTTTCATGGCACATGCACGAACTGAGAGCCTTTATTTTGATTTCGTTAATGTTGTATACGCTGTGAGGTGTTTAAATAACATCTGTATATTAACACTCCTTATTCAGTGCGTAGCCCCGCCGTGGTGGTCTAGTGGCTAAGGTACTCGGCTACTGACCCGCAGGGCGCAGGTTCGAATCCCGGCTGCGGCGGCTGCATTTCCGATGGAGGCGGAAATGTTGTAGGCCCGTGTGCTCAGATTTGGGTGCACGTTAAATAACCCCAGGTGGTCTAAATTTCTGGAGCCCTCCACTACGGCGTCTCTCATAATCATATAGTGGTTTTGGGACGTTAAACCCCACATATCAATCAATCAATTATTCAGTGCGTAGTATTCTCTCATTTTATTTCTCTTTCACAGCGCTTCCACCTGATGCCGAGAAGCCTTTTTTTTTTAGTTCGATGTGTATTATTGCATCGCCGCTTTGTCCATTCACTGCATATGCATTTCAGAAGATCGGTGGACATGAACACATATGTGCATGTTCCATAGTTGATGCCCTAAGTAACACACAATATGTGTTGGTGCACAGGCTGTCCTGCAATAATTCAATTCCAACGTGAATATCCGTTCACAACCATGGCCAACTTGACATTCCCAAGAATGAAATTGCCCATACCTATTGGAGTGCACTCAAAGCCATGCTGGCCATGTTGATGATTGATTGATATGTGAGGTTTAACGTCCCAAAACCACCATATGATTATGAGAGACGCCGTAGTGGAGGGCTCCGGAAATTTCGACCACCTGGGGTTCTCTAACGTGCACCCAAATCTGAGCACACGGGCCTACAACATCTCCGCCTCTATCGGAAATGCAGCCGCCGCAGCCGGGATTTCATCCCGCGACATGTTCGCCATGTTCCGAGCAGGTATCAAAATGCATGAAGCAGTCATGATCCGCACACAGAAATGAGTGGCGATGAATCCAAAGGCTAACGATATCAATGTATGATTAACGAGAGCAAGACTGGAAGGCGCAATGCACGTGATATCAAGAACTTTACTTACTAAGGCTTTTAAATTAATTATTAATTGATGGAAATGAACGTTTCAAAACCACAATATTCTGGGCATTAGTTATGCGCTTCTTCTCATATCTGCATTATTATAATCATCATCATCCGTCTGGGTCTCCGTCCTCATCTTCACTGGGTGTCATCACAATCATCATCGTGGGTGTGCGCGCCCTGTCTCAGACTGCTCGTTCGCTGCTGAGTCCTTGGGCTGAATGAACGCTGTCTCAACCCAGACGTCATACGTGGCGAAGGTGGATATTCGGTCCACGGTCCTCTCGCACCTCGCTCGAATCCCTGGAGCTTCGTTCAGGCCGCCGATTGCGCCCGCTGTCCAGCAGCATGTTGCAGAACGAGCCTGCCGGTGCTGTTGCCATCTCCCCCGCCCTCCCCCTCTTTGCCGTCGTCCGCCGCGCCTCCTGTTTACGTACACAGCCACCAGCGTTATCCGCCTCTCTTCGCTGGTCTTCGCGGTTAAAACTTGGAGAACTGACTCGATGAATACAGCCAAGTGAGTGTTGCTAATCGCTGGGACGATAGCGCCAAGCTCTCTTACGTCTGATACCCTACTGGGCGACCTTCGAGCAGCAACTCCGTCACGTTTTCGGCACACCGGCCCTTCGATCCACAGTCGTGAAACGAACCCTCGACACTCGCCAACAAGATACCATTGTGTCGTACATGTCGTAGATCGAGGACGTTCTTGTGCTCTGCCTGCGTGCCAATTCATCTATGCCGGAGTTTGACAAATGACGCCAAATTTTGAAAGGTATAGGCCCTGTTGCCTTCAATGCCCTGGTGGCTCAAAACCCTACAACCATCGCATACATCGTCGCGACATGTCGGAGTTTCGATACACTAAACTCGGTTCGTCTACAACCAGAGATTGGCGAACATTATTCCACGACTAACAGACCTCTCTGTGACCTTATAAGAGGCATCATACGTGAAGAGTTGCACACTATTTGTTTGTCACCTCCTTCACCGTATTCCTCACAGACTACTGGAGCGGCGTTACGCGGCATTATCAGGGCGGAACTGATATATCTGAACTTTCCTGCGCACGTCCAGTCACCCCCGTCTTGGCCCACACCAACCTACGCGCAAGTCGCTGCCACGCCTCCCAGCAAAATAAGCATGATGTTGCCGCTACTATCGTACGCGTCGGTCGCTGCCGCTCTTCCGCTCAACTTGCTTTCCGTGCCGCCTGACCCTTCGTCTGCACACCTGACCGCACTCATTTCAGGTACTCCGAATGCTTTCTACCCTTCTCCATGGCGCTCATCTCGCCCAGTATGCTACTACTGCGGAAATCGCGCTCACATTTCTAGTTTCTGCCGCAAGCGCCAGCAATACAAGAGTCGCGGTTACGACATGCGTAAACGAGATACTTCATCCAATCAAGGTCAACGCCATTCACCACCTCCACACCAGTCTCCATCTCCGCCCGCATCGAATGCACTACGGAACAGCCGGAACTCCAGACGCCGCCCACCTCCACCTTTTCACCACTCCTCTTTCCCACTTCCTTAGGCCTGCCTCACTCTCCACTGACTGTCATTCGGAAAACTAAGTGATGCAGTTTCTGGGGGCAAAACTGAATTCTAAATTAGGACTGATATTCTTCCATCAGGCCCCTGCAACATGACTTCGGCGGTAGTGGAAGGAGAGTACGTGGATGCTCGGGTGGACACGGGTGCGGCATTTTCTGTTATGCTTGTTAATTTAGGCCAACATCTGAAGAAAGTGATGACCCCTTACGATGAACTCATGTTGGTTCCTGCCCAGAGGTATACCATTTGCGTGTGCGCTCTCTAAACGGCCCGTGTTTTTGTTAATCGTGTCCGACCTCACATTCAGTTCACCATCCTAACCGACTGCTCTCACCAATTAATTTTAGGATGAGATTTTATTTTTCCAGCCTCCGCGGCTATTTGCCGTAGCCAACGCGTCGTCCACCTCACTGACACAAACTTATCGCTCAACGACGACACCCAGAGGTCACTTAGTTTGACAGCTGCGGAAGATACCGAATTACCACCACGTCGAGAGCGAGTTGTAACTATTACCTTCAAAGACATTAGCCATGGCGCCGTCTGGGCCTCACCATCATTTAGTTGCGTCGGTAAAGGCATCGTTCTTGCGTCCAATGTGGTTCGTTTTCTGAATGGTTTCACACTTGTCACCGCCGTGAATACAACATCCGAATAAAAAAATGTTCTTTCTGAGAACACACCGGTGGCCTGCGTGTTAGATACCGAGCCTGCGTGGGTCGTGCCACTTCATGCCGTCTCCTCCAATGACTGCCCTAGGGGTCAGCCTGCTCCTTCTCCTGTCTCTATTGCCGCCATTTGCGACGAGCTGACTCGACACCTTCACAGACGCAGCAGCTGCTTGCTTTGTTAAAAGAAACACGCAACTTCTTTCGATGTTTACTTCTCGACATTGGGCCGGACTGATGCAACAACGCATCGAATCCACACAGTCGGAACATCTGTTGTACGCTGTTGGCCCTACCACATGCCTCTTGCTGAGAAAAAAATTATCAAAGAAAACGTAGCTGACATGCTCAAATGGGAGATAATTCGTCTTTCATCTAGCCCTTGGTTGTCGCCTGTGGTTCTGGTTTGTATGAAGGATGGCTCCTTGCGCCTTTTGCGTCGATTACAAGGGCTAAACAAGGGCACTCGCAAGGATGTGTACTCAATGCCACGTATACACGACGCTCTTCATTCCCTACAAGGCACGAAATACTTTTCAAGCTTCGACATGCTATCCGGATACTGGCAAATTCCTATGCACGAAGACGATAAAGAGAAAACGGCATTCGCAACCCCCGACAGGCTATACGAATTCAACGTTATGCCTTTCGGGCTGTGCAACGCGGCCGCTACTTTTGAGCACATGATTGATACCGTGCTGTGCGGCCTAAAATGGAAGACCTGTCTGTGCTACTTGGAAGACATCGTTATTTTTTCGTCAACGTTTTCTCAGCATCTGGAACGTTTGGATGACGTTTTGATGAGCCTTTCCGCCACTTGTCTCCAACTCAACACCAAAAAATTCCGTTTCGCCACAAAAGCTATCTGGGTCTCGGGCCACGTCATAACCAAAAATGAAATTCAGCCGAAACCGAACAAAATTGCTGTGGGGTTTTGCTTTTCGCGCACAGAAAGGCCGAAGGAGCTGCGAAGTTTCCTTGGTTTTACCTTCAATTTTCGCCGTTTTATACGAATATTCGCATCAATAGCGGCTCCACTGCACCAGCTTCTTGCTTCCGACAT